GGTGAGGTGGTTCTTCTTTAAGACTCCGGAGCAGGGCTGTCAGACCACGCTGCACTGCGCTCTCCAGCCGGGACTCGAACCTCTGAGCGGACGATACTTCTCCAACTGCACCGTCCGAAACTTGTACGCCAAAGCACGAGACGACGCCACGGCCAAGAAACTGTGGGAGCTCAGCGAGAGGATGTGTGGACTGCAGTAGAGTTCAATGAAAATATATGTAAACAGGAAGCAGATCCGGCTCAATTTCAATTTATTTTTGTCTTTGTTTGGAACGTTTTATTTTCATTTTCACACAAAGTAAAAAAAACAACATAAGAATTTTCCCTGAGACGAGTATTAAAATATTACCTTTACAAATGCAATACAGTCCCTCGTTTATCGTGGGGGTTCTGTTCTAAAAAATAACCCGCGATAGGTGAAATCCGCGAAAAAGTAAAAGTATCTGAGTCGTGCAGTTGTGTTTAATCCGTGTGTCATTCATTTTTCAATATAAAACCAAAAATAAGAAAATGAAAAAACAACGGTTATTTGTCTCCAAAGCCAAAATGAATAAACAGATAATGAGCCGTTTTTTTCAGTTTTCGATTTTGTGCTTAAATGAAAAATGGAAAAAATGGATAACGACCGTTTTCCGTTCACATGACTTCTGTGAATGTGATGCCGGACTTTTGCACTGCATACGGACTGAACCAGGACTGATCCAGATCCGGGACCACACCGGGACCAGGGCGGGACCAGGGCGGACTCTTGGCTTTGACTCTGAGCCTCAGCTTCAAGCTCTGGCTCTGCCGTGGGCTCTGAGCCTCCGGTCTGGGTCTGGTGTCTCAGTCTCGGTCTCGTCTCAGTCTGGTCCCCAGTCGGTCTCAGTCTCTCAGTTCCGGTCCAGTCCAGTCTCGGGTCGTCTGGTCTCGGTCTCAGTCTTGGTCTCAGTCTTGGTCTCAGTCTCAGTCTGGTCCCGGTCTGGTCCCGGTCTCAGTCTCGGTCTCAGTCTGGTCCCGGTCTCAGTCTCGGTCTCAGTCCCGGTCTCGTCCCGGCCTGGTCCCAGCCTGGTCCCAGTCTCGGTCTCAGTCTCGGTCTGGTCCCGGTGTAGTCTCGGTCTCAGTCTTGGTCTCAGTCTCGGTCTGGTCCCGGTGTGGTCTCAGTCTTGGTCTCAGTCTCAGTCTGGTCCCGGTCTGGTCCCGGTCTCGGTCCCGGCCTGGTCCCGGCCTGGTCCCGGCCTGGTCCCGGTCTCAGTCCCGGTCTCAGTCTCGGTCTGGTCCCGGCCTGGTCCCGGCCTGGTCCCGGCCTGGTCCCAGTCTGGTCCCGGTCCTGGCCCCCAGTCCCGGTCTCAGTCCCGGTCTCAGTCTCGGTCTGGTCCCGGCCTGGTCCCGGTCTGGTCCCAGTGTGGTCCTGGTCTCAGTCTCGGTCTGGTTCCAGTCTCAGTCTCGGTCTGGTCCCGGTCTCAGTCCCAGTCTGGTCCTGGTCCGGTCTGGTCCCGGACCTGGATCAGTCCTGGTTCAAAAGTTCGGCATCTTAGTTCCGGAAGTCACATAAACGGCCGTTATCTGTTTTTTCCATTTTTCATTTAAACACAAAATCGAAAACTGAAATAAACAAATCATTATCTGTTTTTTCATTTTAGTTTTGGAGACAAATAATGAAGAAAACTGTTGTTTTTTCGTTTACTTATTTTTGGTTTTGTCTTGAAAAACGAATGAATGAATGATACAGGGATTGTGTTAACATTCCTGCATATCTGATTTGACATTGTGCCAGAGAGTCACTGTGGGCGGAGGAAACATGCGGTGAAAACGTGTGGACTTTCCCTGTTGGCTTCAGTGCATCTGCAGAAACACACGCGCCTCCAGACATGTCGTGTTTTCTGATCTGTGGAGGGCTTTTCCTCGCGGCTGCGTACGTTTTCCACGAGATTATAGTGAAAGGAAAAAGATGCACCAGCAACGTCAAACTGCACGGGAAGACGGCCATAGTTACGGGTAATTACGAGTATTTTAACTTTAATTAACGCATTTAAAGACGCACTGTGTAACTTTTAGATGGAATATTTCACAGTAGATCTTATTGCATTAAACGTATCTATAGTTCCTTTTATAAAACTTATTTTAATTGCTCAAAAATGCTCGTGTTACTATTGTGAAAGTAGACTCGCCTCTCTACAGAACTCACCTGTAACTTGATCTGGTGCCTTCAGGGTTCAGAGCAAATTGTGGCTGTTTTTTTAAATGTTTTGAGTTATTTTGGAAGTGTCATTTTTTTTGTTAGTTCGATTGCACTTGTTGCTTTTGTAGTTTTGTCTTGGGTGAGAATCTAAAATGTGAATAATCACGGAAATAAAAAAGGAAAATGAATGAAAAAGCGTCCAAACCTTTGACTGGCAGTGTAAGCGTCTGCCAAACGTCTGTGTCTATAGACGTTTACCTGTCGTCCACATTCACAGGGCATGACTCAGCTGGAATTCCGGTTTCAGGTCTGGATTAACAAATAATAATTATGTAATGATTATATTTCAATGGTAAATTGCTTGAGTTATATTTCTGGGAATCATTATTTACTCTGTGTGCGTTGGGGCGGGACAAGACACGAGATTAAAGACACAAAACGAGACCAGACAAGATTTGGACATGATTTTTAAACAGTGTTGGGGAGTAACAGATTACATGTACCATCCATCCATCCATCCATTTTCGTCCAGCTTATCCGGGGCCGGGTCGAGGGGGCAGCAGCCTAAGCAGGGACTCCCAGACTTCCTTCACTCCAGACACGTCCTCCAGCTCCTCCGGGGGGACCACGAGGTGTTCCCAGACCAGCCGAGACACATAGTCCCTCCAGTGTGTCCTGGGTCTTCCCCGGGGCCTCCTCCCGGTGGGGACATGCCCCGGAACACCTCTCCGAGGGAGGACGTCCAGGAGGCATCCGGAACAGATGCCCGAGCCTCAACTGGCTCCTCTCGACGTGGAGGAGCAGCGGCTCTACTCCGAGCTCCTCCCGTGTGACTGAACTCCTCACTCTGTCTCTAAGGGAGACACCCTGTGGAGGAAACTCATTTTCGAGCGCTTGTATCCGCGATCTTGTCCTTTCGGTCACTACCCAGAGCTCATGACCATAGGTAATCAGAGTACAAATTATGAGTAACTGTATTCGGTAACAGTTACTGTTTCAGTGAGTGGTAATTGGATTACAGTTACTTTGGTGAAATAAATGGATTACACAGAGGGATTTTCCTTTTTTCACATTTTGAGCTATATCCCTTTTTTTTTTTCTCCCCCGGTAATTCCACTCATTCACGGAAACTAAACCAGGTCTATACTAGATCTCAACCAGGTCTAAAACCAGGATTAAAACAGGACTAAAACAGGACTAAAACCAGGACTAAAATAGGACTAAACCAGGACTAAAACAGGACTAAACCAGGACTAAAACAGGACCAAAACAGGACTAAAAGCAGGACTAAAACAGGACTAAACCAGGACTAAAACAGGACTAAACCAGGACTAAAACAGGACCAAAACAGGACTAAAAGCAGGTTTAAACTAGATCTAAATGAGATCTAAACCAGGTCTAAAACCGGTCTAAAACCAGGACTAAACCAGGACTAAACCAAGACTAAACCAGGACTAAAACCAGGACTAAAAAAGGACTAAACAGGACTAAAACCAGGACTAAAACAGGACTAAAACCAGGACTAAAACAGGACTAAAACCAGGACTAAAACAGGACTAAAACAGGACTAAAACCAGGACTAAAACCAGGACTAAAACAGGACTAAAACCAGGACTAAAACAGGACTAAAACCAGGACTAAAACGGGTCTAAAATCAGGACTAAAACAGGACTAAAACAGGATTTAACAGGACTAAATCCTGCTGCGTGGACGTGTTTCCTCGTCTTCTAACAATAATATTTTTAATTTGGTTCAGTAAAGTCTGGGCTTTTCATTTTCTTTTAGCAGACAAAAGTTCTTATGTGAAGATTTCCTCGTCTTTGCTTCTCTACAGCAAATCAAGTAATCCACAGTATTCAGATTACATTACTCACTTTAAGTAATTTAATGGATTACGTTACAAAGTACATTTTGGGATATGTAATCTGTAGGGGAATACATTTTAAAAGTCACCTTCCCAACACTGTTTATGTAACTGACGATAATGTCAGTATATTTGTTTTCATGGTAATAAGTGAGAAAAAAAAGTGTCTTTATTTTAGTTTTCATGGTGTTTCAATGTGTTGATGGAGTTGAAGATTACTGGGAATAAAGTTTGACACACATGATCATCAGTACGAAGCGTGAAGTCCTTTCTTGCGAAGAAAACCAGAGTAGCTACAATTTATAATAACATAATTGTGTAAACTCGGTCCGTTTACAACACACATTAACAAGTTTGAAAATAAAATTACATTTAAAATACACATTTACATCTTGAAAAATGAATTCCAAGTTTCTTAAAACACATTTGCAAATGAAAAACGAAATTTACAAAACGAGAAACATTTGCACAAGCGCAGAGACAAATTTATACATGGCAAAAACACAAACACAAACCCACGAAACAAATGAACAAGAAAGTTTGTGACAGAAGGGTCCGGAGGAAGGAAACGGGGGCAGATTTTTGACATTCAAATGTCTCTTATTCAGAAACTAGAGGAACTATTGAAATAAGTAAAGTATCAGAATGTAGGAAAGAGTTACACTCCAACAGGGTCAAGTTAAACCTGTGATATTCTTTCAAGTTGTTAACAAAAAATTTTAAACTCAGTTACGATGCCAGTTACAGAGGCTAAGTGAAGTACCATCTGAAAGTCTCCTAGACGATGTGAATGCAGCACTGACAGTGATCCCTACCACAACAATCACTGAAACCAATGAGCTGATAAACACTTCAGCAGCAGTGATCCTAGATGTGTAGGGCTATAAGAGCAACCATGGGAGCCATGCGATACGATACCCACCATGGCAAAGACGGTTAGAGGCTAAAATCAAGGAGGCACGGAGAGAAGTGAGCCAACTGTCAGAGGCCCAGAAAGGTGCAATGAAAAAGCAAGTACCCAAGATGTACAGCCAGATCCCCATACCTGAAGCACTCGAAACTGCCAAACAAAGTCTCCAAGCCTTGGCCAGCCGCCTAAAGAGGTACACACGAGATAACGAGGCCAGACGAATAAACCGGCTGTTCGCAACACAACCGGAGAAAGTGTACGCTCAGTGGCAGGGTAATAACACCATAGCAGACCCACCAAGGCTGGAGACTGAGAGGTACTGGAAAGGCATATGGGAAAGGGAGGCATCACATAACACCGATGCACAGTGGCTGGTGGATCTGAGAGAAGACCACAGCAACCTCCCTGAACAGAATCCAGTCACCATCACAGTGGCAGACATCCAGGGAAGAGTCTCAGGTATGAAAAACTGGACCGCACCGGGCCCTGACATGATCCATGCGTACTGGCTAAAGAAGCTCACTGCCCTCCACGAGCGCCTGGCAGCACAAATGAACCAGCTGCTAAGGGATGGGACTCACCCTGAATGGCTCACCCAAGGGCGTACGATCCTGATCCTGAAGGATCCCTCAAAGGGTGCAGTCCCATCCAACTATCGGCCAATAACCTGTCTCTTCACAACATGGAAGCTCATGTCAGGCATCATTGCGGCTAAGATAAGTGGGCACATGGATCAATACATGAGCGCAGCACAGAAGGGCATCGGCAAAAACACCAGGGGAGCCAAACACCAACTCCTGGTTGACTGAACAGTCGCCCGCGACTGCAGAACCCGTAAGACCAACCTGTGCACTGCCTGGATTGATTACAAGAAAGCCTATGACTCAATGCCACACACATGGATCACTGAGTGCTTGGAGCTGTACAATATCAACAGGACTCTAAGGGCGTTCATTGCAAACTCGATGCGGTTGTGGAAAACCACCTTTGAAGCCAAGGGGAAGCCACTTGCACAAGTGTCCATCAAATGTGGCATATACCAAGGAGACTCACTGTCCCCACTACTGTTCTGCACAGGTCTGAACACCTCAGGCAAATCACTGATCGCACTGGCTATGGATACCGACTCAGAAACGGGGCCACCATCAGTCACCTCCTCTACATGGATGACATCAAGCTGTACGCTAAGAGTGAGCGAGACATCGACTCACTGATCCACACCACCAGGATCTACAGTACAGACATTGGGATGTCATTCGGGCTTGAGAAATGTAGCAGGATGGTGACAAAGAGAGGGAAGGTCGTCCACACAGAGGGGGTGTCACTCCCAGAGGGAACAATAGCAGACGTTGAGGACAGTTACAAGTACCTTGGTATCCCAGATCAGATACCCTGCAGGAATCGTAAGCTGGCCAAAGGAGGAGATACAGACCACAGATGTTAAGACACGAAAGCTCCTGACCTGCATGGAGAGTTCCATCCCAAATCCAGCACCCTGTAACCCCCAAACTGGAAGAGACTACAGCAGATACTGGGAAAAACAACAGAACATCTCAGTCCAGAAAAGTATATATATATATATATATATATATATATTTCAATGTTCTTCTAAGCAGAGAAGGCCCCGTATTGAAATAAACGCTAGATAGATAGATTTTAGTTTTTAAAGCCACACTGTGTAACATTCCTGGCCATAACTCGTGTGATTTTCCTTCCTCGTCTCAGGCAGTAACACGGGGATCGGGAAGAGGACGGCGGTGGACTTGGCCAGACGCGGCGCTCGGGTGATCATGGCGTGTCGGAGCAGAGAGAGAGGAGAGGCGGCCGTGTCCGACGTCAAGAAGGTCTCAAAATATTCACTCACCTCATTCACTCACCTGCCTGTTTCCATGGAGATGTCACTGCTCTGCTTTTAATGTTCCACAGTGTGACATTAAACATCTCTGCCTCACATTTATTCAATTACACGAGGCTGCACACTGCAAAAAGTAATATCTAGATAAGTTAAAATGGCTTAAAATAAGAACATTTGACTTTATTTGAGTCGATTCAACTTGACAAGTCAAATTATCTACAAGCAACAATAGATTTTGTTTCTTATTTTCAGTGCAGCAAGATGTATTTTCATATTTTAAGAACTAAAAGTCTTGTTCCATGACAGATCATTTTGCTTGTCAAGTGAAATTTACTCAAATTTTAATACAACTTTTTCACTCTCTATCACTCTCTCACTCCCCCTCACTCTTTCTCTCTGTCTCCCTCTCTCTTTCTATCCATCTCTCTATATCCCTTTCTATCCTCCTCTCCCTCTCTCTTTTTCATAATCAAACATTCTAATTCTTTAACTCCTTCGTTCTTTAATTCTCTCGCTTTGGGAAATCCTAAAGTGTGTGTGAGAAGACGACATAAACTTATTCACTCTTCATCTCTCTCTCTTTTTCTTTTTCTTTCTCCCTCTTTTTCAGTGAGGTTTTTGTCTCTCTGTCTCTCTCTGTGCTCTCAGTTTGTGTAAACGTGTTTGCAGAAGAACACTGATGCTCTCCAGGTCACTCGAGCAGGATCCAGGAGACGTGTTTCACTTTTTATCTCGTCTTTTTCCTCTCGTGTTCCTCTGTCACTTCGGTTGAACCTGTGTTGTGTTCTGCTCCAGGAGAGTGGAAGCTCAAACGTCGTCTTCATGCCTTTGGATTTGTCCAGTCTGAAGTCCGTCCGAGACTTCGCCGAAAACTTCCTCAAATCCGAACCGAGACTGGACCTTCTCATCAACAACGCAGGTCAGACTCTCACACACTCACTATTCTGCCGTCTCAATGTGGGATTTGTATTGTGTTTTCATGTATTTTTTCATTATTCATTATGTTTGTAATCGTTGAACTGTCTCTTAGGCTGCGTTCAGACTGCAGGGTTTAATGCTCAATTCAGATTTTTTTGTCAAATCAGATTTTTTCTCGAGGTTGTTCACATTTCCAACTAATTGTGACTTGTATGTGACTCCAGTCTGAACTTTAAACGCCCCAAAAGTGTCCCGCATGTGCACTGGAGCGAGTGTGTTCAGGGTTTACAGAAGTTGCCTAAAGATGGACGCAGCATTGAGCACCTGGAGATTTTAAAGTCGCTGTCGTACCGAAGCAGAACATGAACAACTTATTTGTTTAAAGGAGGAGACTGAGAAAGAGAAGAATCCGTGCGTCATTTGTTCATTCGTTTTTCAATATAAAACCAAAAATAAGAAAATGTAAAAACAACAGTTTTCTTCTTTATTTGTCTCCCAAACCAAAATGAAAAAACAGATAAAGATTATTTTTTTCAGTTTTCGATTTTGTGTTTAAATGAAAAATGGAAAAAAAACGATAATGGCCGTTTCCTGTTTACGTGACTTCCGTGACTGTGATGCTGGACTTTTGCACTGCATACGGACTGATTGATTGATTGCATTTATATAGCGCCTTTCAAGACTGAACCAAGACTGAGATCAGAACTGAAAACGAGACCAGACTGGGACCAAACCCGAGGCTCAGAGCCCACAGCAGAGCCGGAGCTTGAAGCTGAGGCTTGGACCCCGCGGAGACTCAGAGTCAAAGCTCGGAGTCCGCCCTGGTCCCAGTCTGGTCCCGGTGTGGTCCCGGACCTGGATCAGTCCTGGTTCAGTCCGAATGCAGCACAAAAGTCCGACATCGCAGTCACGTAAGTCACGTAAACGGGAATTCTTCATTTAAACACAAAATCGAAAACTTGAAAAAACAAATCGTTATCCGTTTTTTCATTTTGGTTTTGGAGACAAATAATGAAGAAAACTGTTGTGTTTTCGTTTTCTTATTTTTGGTTTTATATTGAAAAACTAATGAACAAATGACACACGGATTGACAAGGACGAGGTTTTTGATCGTGGTGTTTTGTGGGGGCAGTGGCAACAACATCCGTAGAAAGAAACGTGTGACGAGAATAATGTTTGTGTACATTTGTGACGTGTAGGTGGGATGAATGTGACCTGGCCGTTCACACTGAAGTTGCATGTCAAAAGATCGGATATGTATCGGTTTTAGGACCACATATCCAAGTGTCCTGGGTCACATTTGAAAAAATCAAATCTGTGTCGTTCAGACTGTCATCAAAAGATCAGATACAGGAACATAAGGGCCAAAAAATCGGATTTGGGTCACTTCAGGCTGCAGTCTGAAGGTAGACTAAGTGTCAGGCTCCTGGAAATATCACCACCGTGTATCGAGTGAATGAATAATGCTCCATAAAGCGTCTTTGAGTGTCCAGAAAAGCGCTGTATAAAACTGATGCATTATTATTAGTATTATTCAAGTACTAATCAGGCCTGGGCCTTGCTTAACTTCTCAGATCTAACGAGATCAGGCTTTTGACAAACTGGTATTTTCTATTCCCATGTGGATTTATATCTGTGTAATCCCTCAGTGGTCCAGGTAGATTCCAGGGTGGTCCATGGGTGTATAGTAGGGATGTAACAATAAGCGAAATATCGTGATATTGTATCGTCAAAAGTCACAATAATATCGTGGACTGTCACAATATATTGAATCACAAGTTCTTTTGCTTAAATCCATGGTTTTATAGCAGTAACAGCTTATAAACATCAGGAACTACATATCCCATGATTCATTTCAGTGCAGACAACATGAAGAAATATGTTTTTTACTTGAATTCTTGGGATTATTATGGAAATAATTCACACCAAAATCTTGTCATGATATTTTAAAAGCAAAAAAAGTGTCCTATCTACATTTACCAGTGACTTATATTTGAGTGTGACTTATATATTACAATTTTCAGACTGACAGCCGCAAGAGGCTCTAGGCTTGTGTATCAGTTTTCTGCACATTTCTTGCAGAAAGAGCCGCTGTCCTGCTGCAAGTCATAAAAATATGCAGCAGAAAACATTAATCGAGCAGCAGAAAGAAAGGTTGGAGTGAGTGAGAAACTCGTAAGGGACTGACAGAAAGCGGAGATGGAGAACACAGCCTCATGGCAACTGGGCGAGTAATTGGATGGATGGACAAAGTCTGGACTTCAGTGAGAATCGAAGTTGCGTGGAGGATGAGGATGAAGAATTCAATGGATTCAATGGATTTAGTGATTTGGAGTGAGATGGAGAGTTTGGTAAACTTGTTCTGTTGTTTATGTTATATTTATCTGAAGAACTGTTCATATGTGACGTTATCAGTCTGTTGTTCTCTCTTCTATTGTTTTTACTAAAACTTGCCTTTCAAAATAAAATGTAGGTTCCTGGTCCCTGATTTTATAAAATATATTTCCCCCAAAAAGTAAGACTTATAGCCTGAAAAATACAGTACAGTAGCTTCTTCAGAATATCGCAATGAATATCGTACCTTGAGATGCATATCGTGATAATATCGTACGGGGAGATTTGGATATTGTTACATCCCTAGCGTATAGTATAGTCCAGGGGTGCTCAATACGTCGATCGCGATCTACCAGTCGATCGCCAAGGTCGTGTGGGTAGATCGCCGTGTCTCGTCTCAGACTCGTGTTTGGACTCGGTCTTGTCTCTCACTCGAGGTCTGACACTCAACAAGTGTGATCATATTTCATTCCGGCCGCTGCTGTTGGTAATAAACTTGTAGCGGGTGCAGGAGCGTGTGGGGCGTCTCAGTGCAGCCTGTGCGCTCATTTGAAACCCGCGGAGACTCTACGGCGCATCACAAACACACACGCTCCCTACGCACGGCTCGTCTGCGACAGCGTGTGCCCTCGTGTACCAGCGTGCATCACAGGGCAGGTTCAACTTCCTAAACATCCTACCTGTTCATCTGCCTCACGTCAGCACGCCGCCCCTCGCCTTTTCACGCTCTCGCTCCTTCCTGCGTACAGCGAACACAAGCCCCTCCCACAGTGCGGCTGATTAGAAGAGCAAGACCAAACGTGAAGCAAAAACCAGTCTAAATTTGTGTTCCAGTGTTGGCACAAAGCAGGTCTACAGCATAGAGCGGATCTACAGAACAGACCTACTGCCACATTTGGCTGAAGTTTGTCTAACAAAAGTGCACAAATGCATCTGTGTTTGTCACGATGTGTGTTTGGTTTGGTAAACGTGCAGAAGCTGGTAAATATCACTGCAAAACCAGAAAAGAATGTAACTCCAGTTTGGAACTTTAAAAAACAGGTTTAAAAATCTTCCTTCACTTTTTTCACAGTTTTGTGTAAAGTGCCAGAGGAAGTTCTCTTAAAGAAGAGGTTCTCAAACTGTGGGTGAGGGTCCAGAAAAGGGGCACAGAGTGTTTCAGTGCAGTTTGTTTGGCTTTGTATTAGGTAGATCTTTATGACTTGGTCATTTTGTAAGTAGCTCACATGCTGAAAAAGTGTGAACACCCCGGGTATAGTCTATGTGCTCTTTTATTTGTTCTGATACAGCTAAAGCTTTTCAGGAAAGATTCATCCTGTATTAATATTGGATACCTCCTCCAATGAGTATTTAAGTACTACTTTTAGTTGATTAGTATCTGATTTTTGTTACTTTTGACCGACTAAGAATGCTTTGTCACTGTTTGTCTTCAAGATTCTTCTGTAATTATAGAGATATTAATCACAAACCAGTCCAGTCTCTTTGTGCAGTCAGGGGTGAGACGGGCTGCTTTATTTCATGACACACACTCGCCCTCTGCCCTGCTTCTGCCACAGCCAAACACAATCCTGCTCAGCCCAGTGCTTTGTCTGGTTAAAGTTGTGTAACCTGTATTCACCTGGTTCTGTCATCAGGATCAACAGTGTTGAGCTGGGCTGTATTATGCATCTGTCGTTTGCTCTGTATAGACCGAGACCCTGCCCATCTGCCCTGTTTGAAATCTTTCTTGCAAACCATCTAGTGTATAGGTGAGTTTCAGCTGATGTCATTGTTATTAAAAGCCCGCGTTGCTGCTGGGAAATATTTTGGTCAGAAACAAGAAACAGGATAACGGTCAAACACAGTGCGTAACCTCGCGTATTTATCCCCGATAATGGTAAATTCCTGCTGCATTATCGGATGCACAAATAGAAGCGCGGCAGAAGGAAAACGTCTTTTTCGTATTCCGAGTGAAAAGAACCGCTAACGGTGAATTAAACGGCTTTCAAACATTCGCAGAGCAAACGTAGAAGATCCTAACAAACCGTGGACTCCAACAAGTTCAACAACACATCGAGACTCTTGGAGGTTTTCATCTTTTCTGCTGTGAATGGCCCAGGAGTTTCCACCAAGTCATTGTGGATATCGTCAAAGTGAATATTTGTCCAGGTAGTTGGCGATTCCGACCAGAAATTTGGTTTGGTCCACCTTTTGTCGGGGTTGAAAAGGGTGATTTGTCGTCCGTCGATGCTTATGACCAATTTCTGGTCAAATGGTCTTGGGTCCTCTGCCGTTAGAGTGGATAAATAACCGGGATCAATACCCTTTGCGTGCTTTCTCGCTCCGTACGTCATGTTAAATTAGTGTTTATTGCCGCTGACCAAAATAATTCCCAGCATGCAACGCGCGCTTTTGTCAAAAATGAAACTTGCCTATTCCGATTCCTGACCAAGTCACTGGAGAGAAATGAAACTGAGTGAAGGCACTAGGTGGCACCAGACTGGCTAGGATTCTGTCTGGACGACTGGAGGATTTTACACACAATAATAAATAAGCTCTCTGTCTGTCCTCCTGCAGGTGTGTACAGTGATGGCCGCACTGAGGACGGCTTCGGGATGATGTTTGGCGTGAACCACTTGGGCCACTTCCTGTTGACAAACCTGCTCCTGCCTCCGCTGAAGGAGAGCGCCCCCTCCAGGGTGATCAACGTGTCGTCTGCGGCCCACAATGTTGGACTCATCGACTTTGACTGTCTGAACAAACACAGGACTCTGCGTCTGGGCTCCACCACCTCAGACCTGGTGAAGATCTACGCTGCCAGTAAACTGTGCAATGTGCTGTTTACTCACGAACTCCACAAGAGACTTCAGGGGACCAACGTGACCTGCTTCTCTCTGCACCCAGGTCAGTGGGACAGGAAAAACTCTCTCTGTAACTTATGTTATTAGGTTCTTTTTCAGACCAAGAGTTTGTTTTCATACCTGGCTCCCTGCGCACTTCCTCATGAGTCACGTAATGTTGCTGTGACGTGTCTGTTCAGCTGATTTATACACGTTTTGGTGCTGTCTTCCTACTGGTGGAGGCTCTCACACACCTGGGATACTGTCCTGAGGAAGTTGAACTACAGATGGCGCTGTCGACCTGCCTCCTCCGGTAGGAAGACGGCACCAAAACCTGTTTAAATCAACTGACTGAACACGTCACAGCAACATCACGTGACTCTGAGGAAGAGCGCGAATGAGCAGTCGGAACTGTCAGGTTTGAAAACAAACTCTTGGTCTGAAAAAAGAACCTTATAACATAAGTTATCGGAAGACCAGATGAACCTCATTGGACTCTCTCTGTAACTGCTGCAGTCAGTTTTTATTTTGCTATTTTGTCCGTAAATCAAAAATTCTGAATTTCCCTCAGGATTAAAAACGCATCTGTCTATATGAACATTAACAGCAGACAAATCAGGCACCTTCTTTCCCCATAGTTGCTTATGTTAGCAACAGTTTTAATTGACAGCGTTGCCAGGGAATAGATAGGGAAGTCGATAAAGGAATTATCGTGACAGGCCTTCTCATTATGTCCATTCAAATTGAAAAGTTAAAGGTGCATTGTGTAACTTTTCAATGGCTTGTTTCTATGGATATGTCATTGCTCTGCCTGGAATGTTTCACAGTATGACATTAAACAGTTCTATCCATCCATCCATACATCCATTTTCTTCCACTTATCTGGGGATCCCGAGTCATTCCCTGGCCAGCCCAGAGACATAGTCCCTCCAGCGTGTCCTGGGTCTTCCCCAGGGCCTCTTCCATGCCCAGAACACCTCCCGAAGGAGACGCTCAGGAGGCATCCGGAACAGATGCTCGAGCCTCAACTGACTCCTCTTGACATGAAGCTCGAGCTCCCCCCGTGTGACTGAGCTCCTCACCCTATCTCTAAGGGAGCGCCCAGACACCCTGCGGAGGAAACTCATTTTGGCCGCTTGTATCCGTGATCTCGTCCTTTCGGTCATTACCCGGAGCTCATGACCATAGGTGAGGGGAGGAACGGAGACTGACAGTAAACCGAGAGCCTTTCGACTCAGCTCCCTCTTCACCACAACGGTCCGATACAGCGACCTCATCACTTCCGACGCTGCATCGATCCACCTGTCAATCTCACGTTCCGTCCTCCCCTCACTCGTGAACAAGACTCCGAGATACTTGAACTGCTGCACTTGAGGCAGGGACTCTCCTCCCACCCGGAGAGGGCAAGCCACCTTTTTCCGGTCGAGAACCATGGCCTCAGACTTGGAAGAGCTGATCCTCATCCCAGCCGCTTCACGCCCCAGTGCAACATCATCAACAACATCATCCGCGGACAGCAGAGATGATCCTGTGGTCCCCAAACCTGACCCCCTCCGACCCCTGACTGCGCCTAGAAATTCTGTCCATAAACACAATGAACAGAACCGGTGATGAACAGATCTACTTTACATTTATTCAATGACAGGTGGTTTTACAGCTCAAAAACACGTAGAAAAACAGGCATTCTGACTGTGAGCGGCATTGTCTCTCCACAGACCTGACCTGTAACTTGGTCCGGTTTGGTCTCCATGAAGATAGAAAGGTTTAATGCCATACTACGAAACATTCCAGACAATAGAGAAAAGCATTTGACAAGCCCTCCACCTGAAAAGTTACACGATGCGCCTTTAGTCTTTGCAGATCCCCAATTGTATTTTCCATTTTGTTTTTCCAGGTGCCATAAATACGGAATTCGATCGAAACTTCCCCCTAAGCATACTCATCATTTTTGGTCTGGTGAGGTGGTTCTTCTTTAAGACTCCGGAGCAGGGCTGTCAGACCACGCTGCACTGCGCTCTCCAGCCGGGACTCGAACCTCTGAGCGGACGATACTTCTCCAACTGCACCGTCCGAAACGTGTACGCCAAAGCACGAGACGACGCCACGGCCAAGAAACTGTGGGAGCTCAGCGAGAGGATGTGTGGACTGCAGTAGAGTTCAATGAAAATATATGTAAACAGGCTTTTCCCACAAAGTAAAACAAAAAACAACAAAAAAAACAGTGGCGGTAGAGTGGTCCCTCGTTTATCGCAGGGGGTAAAAATAACCCGCAATAAAGGCTTTGCACCGTCACGTGACCCCTATAGCAACGGTACCTACGCCGCTATGACACTGGGAACGCTGTGTCATTGACTTCAGCAGCATCGGAGAAACTTGGGCAGGTTTTGTTGTGTATTTGGTTGTTCTAGACGCTCTGAAAGGGGTATAACGATTTCTTTCTTCACTGTTCCTCTGGAAATGACTCATCAGGAGCTCAAACAAGGGAATTATCGAAAAAAAAGACGGGAATTATGTCTAGAGAACATAAACCGCAAAGAGATTTCCTATGGTACCGTCAAGACACACTCACGTCACTTTCATCAAGGTATTTGCTATTTAAATTGATCATAGTTTATTTCATGAGAGAAGCAGATTTTCTGGACTAAAATTTTAAAAGAAAACATTTGCAGTGTGAGCGGCAGTAGAAACTGTATCTTCCAGCACATATAAACATGTCACTCGTCGTAGGACCCATGTTTTCTTTATTGACTTGTTTATCCACAACTATGTCTTCTAGAATTAATCACTTTTTGCGAGTGGATCTTTCTAACATTCGCGAGGATCTTTTCATGACCGATTCTTTCGAGGTTCGGCTCACAGACTCTTCGACTCGTGCGTCCATGTTGATCAGAGGAGCCCAGTGTGGGTTCGTTGAATCGTAAACTAGTGCGGGTTTTCCTGGATAAATTAATGAAATTTTAGTTCAGTAAATGTGCTTCTTTCATTAAATAAGCTATGAAACAATTTAAATAGCAAATACCTTGATGAAACTTCGGGTGTCTTGATGGTACCAGAGGAAATCTCTTCGCGGTTTATTTTTGCTGCTATAATCCGCGTCTTTTTTTGATAATTCCCTTGTTTGAGCTCCATGATGAGTAATTTACAGAGGAACAGTGAAGAAACAATTCATTTTATCCCATTCAGAGCGTCTAGAAGAACCAAATACACAACAAAACCTGCCCATGTTTCTCCGATGCTGCTGAAGTCAGTGACATAGCGTGCTCAGTGTCATGGCGGCATAGTTACCGTTGCTATAGGGGTCACGTGATGGTGCAAAGCCTCTATAGGTGAAATTACATTTTACAATTATTATTATATCTGTTTTAAGTCTGTAAAACCCCTCAGCACACAGTTTGTACACTTTTGTATTGAGTTTTAAGAAACAAATGTTGGTAACACTTTATAATAACTACACCTTATTTAGCCTTAATAAAGCATGAATGAAGACTTAATTAATAATGAACAAAGACTTAATTAATAATGATTCATGCTTAGTCACTACTTAATTACTACCTTAATTAGCACTTGCACTTAATTTGCCTGTGCTGTAAATCATAATAAACTCATAATTATTTCATACTTAATTACTCATGAACTAACCATTTGAGCATTTATTAATCATTAGTAAACTATGAGATAATGATTTACTAATAATGCAATGCAATGATAATTCAGGCTGCTGTTATCTGTTAGTTAAGTCTTTTCTAAAGTGAAGACTAATTATGCTTTATTAATCATTTACTAAGCATGAATCATTATTAATTAAATCTTTGTTCATTATTAATTAAGTCTTTGTTCATGCTTTATTAAGGCTAAGTAAGGTGTAGTTATTATAAAGTGTTACCCAAATGTTAATACGAACATTTTAAGACCAAAATAACAAGGCTCACTGCAACAGAAAGAGACAATGTTCCAGTTTAAGTCAATGAGAAGAGCCGGAAAAGCCCACGTGCAAACTTCCTATTTGGATTATATACAGTTTATGTTTATGACCACAAGTGCCCCACTGTGTTTTTTAACTCCATACACCTTCACTAAAAATGATTTGGTTATTTTCATCCCTGGAATTGCCCATTTTTACTGAACATAAAGTCAAAAAAACATGTGTAAATGAAACAAAACTTGACTCCAGGTTTGTTTTTTTTCAAGGTAACAGTTTTATAACATGACTTAAATCTCACATGAGTCTATTTTGCATAATATCGGACTTTAAAAATGTTGAAATGGAACCAATCATTCACCATTCACCAGATTATCTTGTGATTTTTTTTTTCTTGGGCTTGTTTTATTTCCTGATGTAAATAGTTTTCATTTTCTTTGTAATGTCTCAGATCTGTCTTGTGTGTGTGTTGTGGTTTTGGTTTAAAGTTTTTTTAATGTCAGTATTGTGGTATTGTCTAAGTTAATGTTTTACCTGGTTTAAGACAATGGACGAAATACTGAAAATAGAGATTACAAGGGTGTAGTTTTGCATAGGGACGGTGGGGACGTGTCACAATCAATATTTGGGGAAGACAAAATAGTCCCTACCAATATTTGCCATTTTATTTTAATAAACAAAAATATAAATGTATTATGATATTTGTCCAAACTCATTATTATTAATCGAACATGTTTTAGTTCACATTTAGATGGCGTGAGTGAAGACGCTGCACCAAACTTTGAATTAAACTTTTCAGAAGGAACTTACTCGGCTTCATCTTCGGTTAAAATTGCAAACTTATTACGAGGCGCCGCGGAAAAAGAGCGGCTTTCATAGTGTGACCGTATTTGCGTTTGTCAAAACCAGGACACCGTACGGGGGGAGGGAGGTGGGGCCTCGTCATCGACATTGAGCGACTCTCACCTGGCAACGCTTTTAATGTTTTTCGGTGTCCTGGTGAGTTTTGAGGTCCCTGACACCGCCACTGGACATTGAAACATGTGCTGCTTTTTACACTGTGCACATGGACTCACATTTGTCTCGACCAGGATGGAAAGTGGGGAATTTCTTGTACAAGTCATCGTTAAATGCGCATTTGTGCTTCGGCATGTTGCAGACTGACCGACTGTTTGTGTGTGCTCGCTCCTTCTGAGTTACAGACGCTACGAGAGACGCTCAGTTTAATGGCCCAATTAAAGGTGATGAAAACCCGGACATTTGCATTACTTTATAAAAAACAAACAAACAAAAAAAAAAAAAAAACGGATGGCCAGGACAAGATGCGAAAAACGGACATGTCTGGGGAAAAACTGATATTTGGTCACCCTAGGCCAGGGGTGTCAAACATACGGCCTGGGGGCTGGATCCGGCCCTCCAAGACCTTTAATCTGGCCCTCGGCTGATTTTCTACAAAAATATTTTAATTATATTTTCTATTAAAATATTGTTAATTTTCTGTGGTGTTTATCACAGCAGCGTCTCCAGCGTCTCTGTACGTGGCCCCTCCCACCAGAGCAGCACAAATGAAGACTTGTCTCTTTCCAAACGCTCTTAAAGGACGATCGTTTTGACTGTTGACCGTGACACCCTCATCAGAAAAATGTCCAACATGAGAAAAGTGGAGCCGAGTGCAGGATTTTCCAAGAATATATTTTTCTTCAGGTTGTTCATAATATTATAATATTTTGTAAAAGAAAGACTTCATCAATTAAAAATAGATTTCTGTAATAGATTTGTGTTTCTCTGCACAAATATTTGAACTTATTGCTGTTTTTGGAGTATATATGACATGAGTTTTCTGATCCAGCCCCTTTGGGATCAAAGTAGGTTGGATACGACCCCTGGACCAAAATGAGTTTGACACCCCTGCCCTGGACGATCACCACAAGTGCACCTCCCAAACAGAGCCCTACTCCTGCGCTGTGAGACCCCGACTCTACTGACAATATTCCATGGAAAAATGTACGGACATGACCTCAAGAGAGAAACAATAATCATAAACATACTGCATACACATTGTAAAGAACAGAAAAGCGCATTCTCGAAAAGGAGCGGGAAGAAGACAAAACGTATACAACCCACCCCTGTTCATGACATAGTTTCAAAATTGATATGGTTTCTTATGCGCATTGATCAAGGAACTTTACAAATATTTACATATAACAGAATAATTTCATGCTGTGGTCTTGCAAACTAATAATAATGATAAAGAAGGCACAGGAGTTTATCGTTTATCAGGTCTTCATGGTCAGATTGTGTGAAAACAAACCTCAGATTAAAGCCTAATGTGAGTAAAAAAGCTTCAGACAGAGCAGTGCTTCATTAATGTTGATTATCTGTGAACAAAAGCTTTTATAGGTCATATTTGGCCAATAAAAGAGACTAGACTAGAGTTCAGGTTGTATCTGGTTTAACCCTTCACCCACAAACACAGAGAGCCGTTCTCTGCACAGTCCACATTGTGCAATTTACTGTACAAACCTGCCAACATTATGTAACAATATTTTCATTGCTGCACAAAACATTAAACAACATGCATAAAAAAAATAAAAGTAAACAGTTCACATTTAAAAGGGAGATTCAAAGCTCTAATTTAAAGGTAAAAATTTTTAAATTAGAAAAAAAAAAAAAAAGAAAAAAAAAAAAAAAAGAACATTAGAACATGGCTTAAAAGTTTCAAGTCTTAATGTAAACTTGGTTCTAGTCCTGGTTTCAAATCCTGGTTTAGTCTAGGTTTGGTCCATTGTTTATTCCTGGTTTAGTCCAGATTTAGTCCAGGTTTAGTCTTGGTTTAGTCCATTGTTTAGTCTAGATTTAGTCCTGGTTTAGTCCATCTTTAATCCAGGTTTAGTCCATTGTTTAGCCTTGGTTTAGTCCTGGTTTATTCCTGGTTTAGTCCAGATTTAGTCCAGGTTTAGTCTTGGTTTAGTCCATTGTTTAGTCTAGATTTAGTCCTGGTTTAGTCCATCTTTAATCCAGGTTTAGTCCATTGTTTAGCCTTTTAGTCCTGGTTTATTCCTGGTTTAGTCCAGATTTAGTCCAGGTTTAGTCTTGGTTTAGTCCATTGTTTAGTCTAGATTTAGTCCTGGTTTAGTCCATCTTTAATCCAGGTTTAGTCCATTGTTTAGCCTTGGTTTAGTCCTGGTTTAATCCTGGTTTAGTCCAGGTTTAGTTCAGGTTAAATCCTGGTTTAGTCCTGGTTTAGTCAAGGTTTAGGTTTAGCAATGGGCCCTTTATACGTTATCTATATAAATGGCTCCCTCTTGTGGTCGTACGAGTTATTGCTTAAAGTAGTACTGCTGCTTCAAGGTACTGAATACAGTTCACATATAA